GAAGCCGATGACGATGCATTGGAAATAACTTTCCAGGCATTGGAAATTGCATATGTTGTATTGATTGAGGACATTATTGTCGTACCTCGAAAAATACGATCCTCGCGATGGACGCGAAAAAAAAAGTTCGAACAGAGTCTTTACCGAACTTTATTCATTCTAAGAAAGGAATAGGAAAATATCTATAAAACCTTTAAAGAGATAAGAACATGGTCGATGCAGCCAAATTCTAGGTTTGGGAGTCGTTTATGCAAAGGAAAGGTACTGGCATCCTCTACGTCTGTTGTACTCAACGGGAACCTCTTGATTCGATTTGTGGGAGAAGTTAGCTACGTTTGTTTATCTTCTAAGGGATTTGCTTCAAAGGGAAAATGGGTGTTTTATTATTAGGGTGTTCGCCAAGGATTGGGGGTCCTTGTGCCTACGTACTCCCTTGTACAATGGGAAAGTCAGAGCAACGTAGTTTATGGGACTACGGGAAAAGGTTTGAGATAAAAAAGAAAAAGGTGGGAAGGTAGCTCGCTAGGATCTCACAATTCTATGCCTATGTATTCTCATTGACAAATGAGAAATCAGAGCATCCTGTAGTTCGGAAGACTATGGTTGGTTGGTTTGTGTTTGATGAACGAGTGTTTAGGTCACACTCTAACTGCTAAATGTTGGCTCGTCTACTCGCTAGGGGAGGCTGAAACATGAGTTTGTATGCGCGGAAGAAGGGACTAAACAATGCTCTTTGGTAAAGGTGTTTTGAGTTATGGATCGCATTGGGGCGAGGAATTAGTGTCTTGGTAAGTATCAATCACACGGGGTCGAGAAAAAGGAGTTTGACGTGTTGGATGTTTTGCTCGAGGTGACGATTACCTGAAGCTTAAGAAAGACTCCTCGGGCTCAAGTAATAGGGAAAGTGAGTCAAAGACTTGACTCTCTCTCTTTTTCAACCTTAATTGCAAAAGTATTTCGATGTAGTTCGAGTAAGTTGATCGGATGATGATTACTCAAAGCTTAACAAAGGCTCCTCGAGCCCAAGTAATCAGAATGAGTCAAAGGCTCGAGTCTTTCTCTTTTCATCTTATATTACGAAAGAGCTTTGATATGGTTAGAGTATTTTAAATGGATGACGATTACTCGAAGCTTAAGAAAGGCTCCTCGGGCCCAAGTAATCGAGAAAATTAGTCAAAGGCTTGACTCTCTCTCTCCTTTTCATCTAAGTGTTGAGAAAATATGTTTGATTTCATATTATCAGATTAGAAATCTTTTAGAGAAGACAATTGTTCGAGCTTAAGAAAGGCTCCTCGGGCCCAAACAATTGAGGAGAGGAATCGAAGATTCCATTCCAACTCCCTTTTTATCTTTTATTGAAATTGTGTTTAAGTATGGTTAAGTATATTAATTTTGATTTGAGAAAAATGCTCGATGGGGAATCGAGGTTTAAGAGTGCAAAGGCAGGAAAGAAAATAATGAAGGGGAACCAACTCCTAATATTGCCACATGAAGGATTGAAAACCTAATGCTTCGCCTACTTCAGAAATTACATCGAGTTAGGAATACTGAAAGATCAAGTGAGTATACACAAGTAAACAATTATCAACAGAACAATTTCGTGATCTCAGCTAGGGAGCAAAACTGAGTGATTCTTCATCCTCAACCAAAAGAATGATGTCGTGATCTCAGCCAAAAGGCAAGACTGAGTGACTCTTCGTTCATCACAAAGCATGATAAAATGGTAATAAACGAAACCAAAGTATAAATTGAATTAGAATACAAGCTAGACATACAACTAGAAGTGAAGACTCCTCGATCAACAACAAGCAAAGACAGTAGCAACGACAACACTTCAGCGTAGCACAATCGTAATTTCCAGCAAGCACACAACTTCTATCTTCAGAACAACAGTGTATTCATCAACATCATTTCCTGCACTCAAGCAACTTGTGCACAAGGAAAGTTTAGCAACATCAACCAATAAGAATTTATGCAGTTTCGAAGATTAACAAGGTCAATATCTTGAGTATCAAAGCACCTCTCTCAAGACAAATTATTAACATCAACTAGGGAATTAATCAAAGAATGCTAAACAAGAAATTTAATTCAACAAATAATGAAAACTCTAGTCAAAGCTATCAAGAGATTAAAGTCAAGATTAAGAGTTTAATCAAGAACTAAAAGTTTAATTCAAAAGAAATAACTAAATATCAAACATTAACAAAAGTTTTCAGAAAAACATCAAGGTCTAATTAACAAGTAGAAAGATCTAATCAAATTTAATATTGGTCTTTAAACAAAACTACCTAAGAATATTAAAATCAAAACTATCATTAATCAAAAATTGATAATAACTTTTAATTAACAATTAATCAAAATCAATATAAAATTATCTAAGGTCAAATTAACTCAAAGCTAATTAATCAAAAAAATAAATTTAAATTAATCAAAACTCAAATCAAATTAAACAATAGTCAAGACCAAAATAAAATCATAACTAGCATCAAAACAAACTCAATTAACAATGTAGTAGGTTTATGGATGATGATGATCATGGAGGATGATAAAAGAGAAACTCATGGAATCATCATGGGCCATAAGGCCCATTTATCCATCATTGACCAAGAAACAACCAACAAAAAATGGTGCATATTCACGGGCCTCGAAACCCACCAAAGGCTTACAACAATTCATAGGGTAAGTTCAATCATCATTAGGAAATTTTACCCCATACCCCTAGACTTATACCCACACCCCTACACTAAAAAATATTGGACCAAAATACCCTTGTTTAAATATCTATAATTTCGTAAATTTTTTCACTTCCACTTCATTTCCATTTCAAGTCTTCTGGAGGTCTCTATTTTCATTTACACACCGGAACTCTTCCACCAAGTCTTCCGAAACGCATTTGTTTTCCAATACATACTGGAACTCCAAGAGTAAGTCTTCCAGTTTGTACTTTGTTTTGGTTTCTTCACCGGAAGACTTAATGCATGTCTTCCGGTTCATGAAATTTTGATTTTGTTAACCGGATGTCTTGACTTAAGTCTTTCGGTACACACATTTTCCGTTTCTTCTCTGGAACTCTTTGCTCAAGACTTCCGGTTCATTGTTTTTTTTTTATTTTTAATTTTTAATTTTATTTTATTTTATTTTATTTCAGTGGTGTGCACACGAGGCAGAGATGGTAGGATCCCTCGTAGACTAGGATGGGGCGAGTCATCGAGAATGGCTGAAGAAGAGCATTTTGATGCATCTGCATCAGCATCCGAGCCTGCTGGATATCCAGGAGGACCGTATGATACATCACTGTTAGTTAAGTACGAATATCATGTTTCTAGACATATATGGTTCGGTGAGGTAAGTAAACGAAAATTATTTAATATTGAATAGAATTCAAATTTTTAATATTGAATTTTATAATATATTTACTTTTAATTGTTTTCAGGAGAGAGGGTCGAAGAAAGAGTTAAAGGTAGCAGAACATGGCCTGAAGTTGATTCAGAGGGTTCCACTACAGCTACTCAGAGACATGGAGGGCTGGATATCTAGGTATGGTCTAGCTTCACTCCAGAGAACCAGTTTAACAAAGATAGACACGAACCTAGTTTCCGCCTTTGCAGAGAGATGGAATCTAGAGACATCTTCATTTCACATGCCGTTTGGTGAGATGACGATTACTCTAGATGACGTATCTTACCTGCTTCACTTTCCCATCAGGGGAGTTTTCTGGAGCCCTCAAGATATCAGTGAAGCGCTTGCTGTTGAGTGGGTTGTTGATTATTTAAGAGTGTCACAGAGAGTAGCACAACAACAAGTCCGTGAGTTCATAAGTTCCTACTATAAGTTGGAGTGGTTATATGATCTATTCGTAGAGCACAGAGCTGCATCTCGATGGGGTTATGCCACTAGAGCTTATTTGCTGATGTTAGTGGGTTCCACTATTTTTGCGGACAAGAAGTTTACGCTTGTCGAGGAACGATACCTCTCACTATTTATAGACTTGGATGACTTACCAGGATATAGTTGGGGAGCAGCTGCATTGGTTACTCTTTATAGATATCTCGGAGATGCTTCCATGTTCAGTTGTAAGCAGCTTGGTGGTTATCCGACTCTCCTACAGGTATTTATTTTAATTTAGTATATTTTGTTTTAATTAATTTTATTTAGTATATTAATTTTATTTATCTGGTTTATTATGGTATAATTAATTATTTTAAATTTAGTAACCATATTAATTTTGTAACAGTGCTGGATTCATGAGTATTTTCCAACACTTGGGAAAAGAGGAGAGAACTGGATACCAGCTAATAATGTGGGTCTCCCTTGAGTGATGAGATGGTCCTATAGGCAAGGTGCCTTGAAGGTGGATGACTTGCGGCCTATTCTGGACGAGCTGACACCTGCCGATGTCATATGGCGCCCATTCGAGAATCATAGAGTATGGCGTCAGTTTGATGATTTATGTCTCTATAGGGGGTGTCTGAGGTGGGGTGACACTATTGTTCCATACTTGCCTGACAGATGTATGCGTCATTTTGGATACAGGCAGTATGTTCCACATCCACCTCTTGAATCTCGAGTGGCTGGTGATATTGATGTTGACTGGATTAGTTACCATCAGAGCGTTTGGAATGTGATTCATCCGACAACACCGGCCACCACCTCATATGAGATAAATGATGGGTATCTTGAGTGGTATTATCGTGTTTCGCATCCTCGTCTGGTACCGCCCAGTGTTGATGCGACAACAGAGATGCCAGTTCCTGTATATGAAGCAGGACCATCTGATCCTATATTGGCTCGTATGTCTGCATTGATTCATCATTATCTTCAACAGGTTGGTGCTGAAGAGGATGACCCACAATTTGCTGATTTGTTTGAAGCTTTACATCTTAGTCGATCACAGCGACTTATATTTATTTTTATGGTTATATGTTAACCTTTAGACTCATTTGACCTAATTGGTTTATGTTCATGTGTTAACGAAAAAGAGTTAGGTTTAGTCGCATTATCTAAAAAAAACTAAGTACCTGAACCCAATCATTTCTGTTTACAAAACCAATGCAGTAAATTGCTACATTCGGTGAAAATGAAGATGTCATAGGGAAGAAAGTCCAACATTCAATTCCTAAATAGACAAGTAAAACAATATAATAATTCGCTATCATGTAACCCATATCTGGTAGAGTTAACCATTTATGTGGTGGTTGAGGACCAAAATCATCTATCATCAAAGATTCTCTTACTACTGCTAACTGATCAGTAAATAAATTGGCATACAAACTTGATCTTTCATTATGTATTATTTCCAACCCCAAGTCTCGACGAACCATTGGCCAACCATCTTCACCATATCCATGCAATGAAGCATTGACTCGAAATCCACAATTACCATCTGATGCAACATTAACTACATCATCAATATATGACCTGGTGTGATTAGGAAATTGAAGGATGAACTGCTTAGATGACTGTGAAGATTGTGATAATTTCAACTTCTTCGAAGCCTGTGATGGTTAAAATTTCTTTTGTGAAGACTGTGATAATTTCAATTTCTTCAAAGTTTGTGATGGTTGAGATTACATCTGTGAAGATTGAGATGCTTAATCAAGATACTCGTGATACGAAGGGTCTCTATAAACATCATATCCTACTGGTTTTTTGTCTTTCTTCTTGACTCCCCCTTTAGTTTTTATTTTCTCAGGTGGTGGACACATAGAAGTCATTGTAGGGAAGGCAAGTTCAAAAACCCTACTTTTTAATGCCCTTTTCCCAACAACATCCAGTGACTTAAACCTTTTCCATAACTCATCTATTGCACTACTCATATCCACCTCTGATCCATCATCTACGTCTTCGTCCAACTTAACTTCCATACTTAGTTTTCTCCAATGAACATGTACAACATCTATTGGTATCAGTAAACCATCAATTCTATATCCTGTCAACTCACAAGCACAAGGTAATCCGTAGGTTGTTCTAAGAGTACAGCGACATATTTCCTTGTTAGTTCCAACATAGTCAACTCGTTTTAACTCTTCAGCAATGCGTCTCAATGCATCTCGAGACACTGAACCACATAAATTATTGTAAAATGGACTAACGTGGGCGTGCTCAACTTCATAAAAACTCTTTTGAAAAGAAGCTCTAATATTACTCAATTGTAACTTTAAGTTGTCATTCATAGCCTCCCAACATTTGACCATGTCACCAATACTGTTCCCCAACATTTGCTTTAACTTTCAATGAGCAGAATCAACCCTAAAATTAATACATATTAAAAATATATAAAAAATATATATATACAATTTAGAAATACTAAAAATAAATACATACCGATTAGTCGTGGTGTTACCTAAATGTAGCACTCGATTAATCCATGCTCCAACAAATTTTTGTCTATGTGGTGTCAACCATGTGCCCTTCACATAATCAATAAGTTCATTGCAATCAACACACGCCTGCTCATGTTGGTTCAACCTTTGATCATACTTAACCTCATCACTAGCCCATACAACATCCGTCCATAATTTGTCAATTTTCTTTTGCATGTCACTAGCCACATATTGTTTCCGTTTTGCACCAACATTCTTGTTAATATGAAATCGACATAGCATATTGATCGACCTTGGAAACACAATTTCAATGGCTTTTATCAAAGCAAGATCTCTATCCGTCAAAATCACTTGTGAACACAACTCTTTCTTCACAAACAATTGTTTAAGCTTATCTAGCACCCAACAAAAAGTCTCAGTCTGCTCAGATTCAATATAGACAAATGTGATAGCAAAAGTCAACTCGGTTGATGTTATGCCAACAATTTCAAACAGAGGTTGCCTATATTTGTTTGTCTTATAAGTGTTGTCCATAACTAGCACAATAGGAAAAATATTCAACAACTTAACTGAATCTGGATGAGCCCAAAAGATATCTCTAATAACTTCAGAGTCATATCTTTTTCTACTTCAATAAACATAACCTGCTTCCTCATTAAGTTTAAACAAATGTTGTATCTCACTTTTAGGACCTCTTATATTTTTTTCTATCATACTCTTTTTCTTGTATATTTGTGTGATCCGAGTGACATTATCTGGATCTTGCTATTGCAATGAAAGCAATATATGTCTAGGTGGAACCTTCCTCTTTATCAAATCAACAACATGTTGCTTCTGATATGCTGTCAACCTACCAACAAATGCGTGACCGTCTAATCTATCAGGTAAATCATGGTTATGAACTGCACATTTTACATCAATCTTCCATCCAGATCCATCAGTCGCTGGAATTGATCTGATTCTAAATGGACATCCACATTTTTTCATCGCACTCTGGGTTCTACTATCAATATCTTTGTGTTTTCCTCCTCTATCACATCCAAATATTAATTTGTTACTTCTTCCTCTCTTGCCTGTTTCAATATCTGAACGAGTGATGATAACCGTTACTTTATTTCGGATTCCGATCTCTTTAATCCATCGTATTACCTCTTCTCGTGTACCAAATCTTTGAGTAGTTGAAAAAACATCAGACGTATCTACGCATATCTGATCTTTATCGCATATTTGTAAAGGCACTTCTGAACGTGCATAAAAAAAGAATTTAAAAAAATTCGAAAAAAAAAGGACAATGCAAACCGGAAGACTCAGAGAAAGAGTTCTGGTAGCAAAAAAAAAAAACAAACCGGAAGACTTGTAAAAAGTGTTCTGGTACACTTTTTACAAGTACCGAAACTCTTTTTACAAGTCTTCCGGTGAACACCCACGAAAATTCTCAAACCAGAAGTCTTTCATAAAGTCTTCCGGTACATAATTTGTGTGAACCGGAACTCTTTACCAAAGTCTTCCGGTTTGAGGAAAAAAGCTTACCGGAAGTCATTTTGATAGTGCTCCGTTATGCCGTGTGGTGAATTCCTCGGAAGTCTAAAAAGTCTGATACGGTAAAAAGTGAATATATATATATATATATATATATATATATATATATATATATATATATATATATATATATATATATATATATATATATATATATATATATATATATATATATATATATATAAAATGGGTATTTTTTAAAATTGTAGGGGTATGGGTATAAGTGCAGGGGTATAGGGTAAAATCTTCTCAGCATCACTTAATAATCACATGAAACACAATAGTGGATTTTTTTTTTTCAAAAATGGAAAAGGGAAAGAGAAACATGGTATGACGCGAATCAGTCCTCCAACCTTTGGGCGACTCAAATCCTCCTCCCCTTTGCCCATTTGACCGCCTCGCTCACCATTCGCACCGTTCCATCACAGCTTCTAGCCGCCGACGGTTTTCTCCAATTCGTCTTAATCCTATTCTTCTTCCGGTTTAATCGCTTTCACCGCAACACAAAAACGTCGCCCTGAGTTCCTTGTCCCGTCTCAGTATTCGATTAAGGTTCGTAGTGGCTTTAATTCAAATCATCTTCCAATTCTGGGTTTATTCAAGTTCTATTTCATCCCTTTCTTTGTTTCGATCTGAAAACAAATTCGTGACGAGATTCAAAAAGTCGTGATGTTTTTAAATGTGTTTGAAAGAGAATCCATGGAGGCTTTATGTTGTGAGAATTTTAAGAGAACTCAGTGTGTTGCGGTTCGGTTATATTTCACTCTATTCTCTTCTTCATCTTTTATTCTCTGGTTTGAGATTTGGGGTTTTGTTTGTGGGTTGTTGGAAGGAAGGTTGCATACTTGGTTGAATATGTTCTGGGTTGAAGTGAGTTGATGAAAGAGGAAGGGAGAGCTAAGAATGAAACAAGCAGATTGTGAGATTTTCGTGGTTTTTGAATGATTTCGTGGTTTTTCTCTTTCACCGTTTTGTCTCCCTTTATCTTCATGTTATGGACAGATTTTATAGAAAACATGTATATTCATGTTGCTGTGGTTTTGTCCTCTCTTGCAGGTAGTGTCGCTCCTTTTGCATGGAATGTGTAGCACAGTTTTTGTAGTGGGATCGTGTGTAGCACCCTAAAATTTGCCTTTTATTTTAACCTTAACTGGCTTTAGTTTCTTTGCATTTTTCATTTTTTTGCATATCATAGCATTTGCTCTCGAGGCATTCTTGTGGCTCAGGTTCATTTCGGCGCAAAAGGTTGAACAACAAACAACGAGCATCAAAGGCTCAGGCATTTATTTTTCCCAGCGGTCATGCGGCCGATTTTATTTTATTTTGCAAGAGAAACAGCAGTTCAGAAAGCAGCACTCAGGCTCATGTCAAGCATTTTTACAGTGATAATGTTCAAGAACGTGATTCAGAAGCTTAACAGAGCTCCAAGCAGTTGAAGCAGGGCAAATGGAAAGATTTCCCTCCAAAAGGCGCCAAATTCAAATTTTTGAAGGTGTTAATCGGTTAACCTATATGGTTAATCGATTAACCAAAGAGAAATCAGGCCAGATTTGAAATTTTAAAGGTGTTAATCGGTTAACACATATGGTTAACCGATTAACCAATGTAATTTTTGCCTCTGTACGTGATTTTTCAATGCAGAGCCATTTGGGTTCCAATTTTGATCACTTAAATTCAAATTTGTCACTTGAGAAGGATCTAGAATCATTTCATAATTTCATTTCCCTCCAAACTCCCATTCCTCATTCCCTACCAAAATTTCCAACCCATATTCCAAACCTTGCATTGGATCCAAACCTAAGTGATATTTAAGTGGTTCACTCCAAACCTCACCATCTAATCTCACATAATTCAATTCATTTTTCATAATTCACTCTTGAGCTCTCAATTTTCTCTCAAAATTCTCCATTTCCAAAACCTTCACTCAAAGCTCTTTTCCATTGATTTCATTGATTTTTCATTGGAATCAATGAATTCTTGAGCTTAAACCTCTTGCCATCATCATTGAATCATTTTCCTTCTTCAATTTTCGTGCAAGCTTGGATCTAAATCTGGAGCTGGATCTAGAAGTGATTATTTGAAGCATTTTGACTCAAATTTGGTGGATCTTCATTCATACAACAACAATTGGCTTGGATCTTGAAGTTTTCCAGATTTCTAGCATTTGATCGACTCAATTACAACAAGATCAACACTAACCGAAGCAAATCTCCGCTTCGAAGGTTGGAAATTCTAGATCCATAGCATTTTTGAGCTTATTTGCATTTTCATGATGATTTTCATATTCGATTGAATTTTGGTGGATTTGAATTGTGATTGTGCTGTGTAGACATGTTTGCATGTCTATTGGTTTTCTGTTTGCAGGTGTAATTTCGTGCTTATTTGATAAGCTGATCTTTTGGATCATTTGATTAATTGATTTTATGATGAAAGTGCTTTTCTGCTGCTGTTTTTGGCCTCTGTTACAGTGTTAATCGGTTAACGCATATGGTTAACCGATTAACCATTTCAAACATTCAAAAATTTCAAATGTTAACAGTGTTAATCGGTTAACGCATATGGTTAACCGATTAACCTGTTCAAAATTCCAGATTTCTCAAACTTTTTAAGGTGTTAACCAATTAACCCCAGGGGTTAACCGATTAACACTGTAACAGTGGGCCTGTTTTGCTATTTTTCAAGGTGTTTTCGCATACCGTTCCACTTCGAATCATCATATATCAGTGTGATGCATTAGGAGTGTGATGTTTGGTATATATGTCGCTGTGCTTGATCGTTTGATCATGATTTTGTCGACTCATTTTGTTCAATTTCCACTTGAATGCATATTTGTATATGTTGTTCAATGTGATGTTCATCCTTGTTTGCTTGAGCGAAGAGCTATGGTCTAGATGCGCTTGTGGCGGATGTTGCCCCACACTTCTTTTCCTCCTATTTTCTTCGATGATTGATGGTCGACGGTTGTAGAGGATTGTCTTCTCCCGTTACATCTCATCTGCTCATTTTCTTTTTGCATTTGCATGTTCATGTTTGCTTGCATCTTTGCATGTGCATTTCATCTTGTGTTTTGCATCTTTGTTTGCTCCAAAGGGGTTGAGATGTGCTTGTGGTGGCTGCTGCCCCACACTTTGTTCCTGCCTCTTTGCATGTTTTCTTCATGTTTGCATCTTCTCCTTGTGATTGAATTTACTTGGTGCTTTCTTGTGCTTTTTTCCATGATCCCCATAAGGTTCCTAGTCCCTCTGTTTAGGATGGGAGTAGGAGAGACATTAGGTGTTCAATCCAAGCATGCTAACATTAGGGTAGATGTTCCCCCTTTTTATCCAAACCTT